CGCGTTGGGTGGGCTAGAAGAAGCGCTTGCCTTGTCTCCCTGTCACGTAAGCCATCGGAGAATGTCTGTACTGCCAACCGCTCCATAACATTCTCGGGCGTAGCAGGATACGCAAGGCGAACCAGGCGGGCTACGTCGGCTTCAAACTCCTGCAGAGACTCATTTGACTTTTGAATGCGATTTTTTAGCTGTGAATGATAGACATGTTCCAAATGAGCTTGGCCGTACCTCATTTCTAAATGTCGTACCAATTGCTGATAATCTCCCTGTTCCGATGGTGACAGTGTCTGCAGGATATCAGTCGCATCTCCTCGCAGTCGACAGTCAAAGCGGTAGCCTTTCAGCGATTGTCCATCCGATTTCGCTCTCACCCAGCGGCCTCAAACTGGCAAAAATAATTGGCCCAAGCGGTTTTTCCGTCAAACTGTGGAGGCTTAATAACTGACTTTGAGATATACTTATTTTCGACTAGTTTCGGTGCCTCCGATGTTTCTTGACATTTTGGTGAATTGGCCTTTTCTATTTCTTGTTTTAAAATTTCGATTTTTCTATTTACATCTTCCTCAATCTCCGTTATTTTGTCTTGTAGTTCCGTAGAATTCTCTATAATCTTATTGTTTAAACTTTCTTCTAAATTAAGTATTTTGTCATTGAAACTGGCTTGTAGATCTTTAGAATTTTCTATGATTTTATCCTCTAAAATATTAATTAAATCCTGGGAATTTTCCATAATTTTATCTTTCAAACTGTCTTCTAATTTTTGAGAATTCTCTGTGATTTTATCTTCTAAATTAACTTCCAAGTCAATTATTTTACTATTCAAATTGTCGTTTAAATTGTCTTGCAATTCCCGGGAATTTTCTGTAATTTTGTCATTCAAACTGTCTTCTAATTTTTGAGAGTTTTCCGTCATTTTAGCTTCTAATTTTTGTAGGCACGAGTCAAGGTCACCTTCGAACTCAAAGCAAAATGTGTCCGGATCCTCGCCTTCCTCCCTTAAAACGTCTCTCAGTCTGGTTTGCAAAATGCTTTTCTTTCCATCTGTCTCGCACTCTCTCTCTTCCAATATGGATTTCAGTTCGGACACTTTCAAGTCTTTCAACAATTTCTTCGCAGCCATTGTTAGTCTTTTTATTTTTCTAGTCTATCAAACACGCCACACTTGACACCAATTGTTACGTTTTTCGTCGGTTCCGTGTGGATAGAAAGTCACAATTTATTTAAACACTATTTATTTAACACTAACGCACAAAAATAATAACGATAAAAGACTTATAGAACTATTTAAAAACGATTTATAACTAAGAATTTATTTTGAATTTTAGCGCGTCAACTGTCTATTTATAACTGCCCCCTCTAGGCCACTGCCGCCGGCTTTTATACCTACAGCAAAAGAAATCTAGAATAGTCAATAGATCGTTAGGCGCATAGAGAAGGTTTTCGAATGTTCTCGTATGTACTAGTCCATTCTAGTGGGTCTCGATTCTTCTCGAACGAATGAATCATTGCGGTGTCTATACGATGTTAAGGTCATCCGAGGGCGGGCCATATTGTGAGGTTAGGTCGAGTCCACACCGGCTCGCGCAATAAGTTCCCATGTATAGTGATATAAAGGGTAATATTACCGGTAATAGTAAGTAATATAATTAATAATATTAGTGGTAATATCACGTAATATTATCGCAAGATTGGTAACATTGGAAATATTGCTTTTTCCCCTCTACTCTTTTTCATTTGCCCAGCTATAAAATAAGTATTTTGGGTGTAGACATTTTAAATTTTCCATCGTTAAAGCCGCAACCGAAAAGAATCTATAAGACCCATAAGGCTCAGAAATAGTGATGGGATAACTCGAGCGAAAATTCGCTCGAGTACTCGATTATTGAAATAACCGACATCGCTCGATTATGAACGAGCGATGCAGGTGACGAGTACCAAGCGACGAACGCAAGCGATCCCAGAATGAGATAAATTGAAATCTGATTTTAATGTGACCTACTCGATAAAACGCCGAGCGAATTTTCTACATACATTGCTGGTAGCAAATTTATTCGACGCCGTATATACCGGGTGCGTCTCACAAGTTGCTCACCCCTATTACTTTTTTATTTTTTTAGATAGAAAATGAGCATTTGGTATGTTAGTATATGACATAAATTAGGATTGATTGACGTATTCAATTGTTTTTAAATGGAATGGCGTATCATATGTCAACTTTTGACATATTCGCTTAAAAACAAATTGTATTTTAAATTTCAATCTAGAGTGCCATGGCTGTGTTAAAAACACTAATTTTTAATCAAGGATCCTTGGAAAAATAGATCTGATCGTCTAATGTTTTTAGTGTCTTGTCCTGGCCGGTTAAAAGATACCCAAATCCTATTTTTGATCATATCTCATTTTTTTTCAAATGGAACGAGGGTGGCTCATTAGCATATTTCGAAAAAGATTTTTTTTTACGAATAATTTGATACCACACACTTGGTACTTCGAGTCAAATTGTCGTTATGAACCGCATGTTACAATTTCAAATAAAGCATATGCGAAAATGTCAAAAGTTGACATGTGATATGTCATTCTATTCAGAGTGTCATTTTCTACCGAATAAAGTAAAAATATACCGAGGGTGCCATTTAAAAATTATAAGATGTAGTCATTTCCGGTGAAACCGGAAGTGACCGAAAACAATCGAATATGTCAATCAATCCTAATTTATGTCATATACTAACATCCAAATCTCGTTTCATCTGAAAACATAAAAAAGTTATAGGGGGTGAGCCACTTTTGAGACGCACCCGGTATCCGTTGCGTATCTGAGGGACAAAATTTTACGACCTACATCGACAATGCTTCGAAATAAACTAAATCAAGCGAATCGCTCGCTGCTTACTACTTGCCGGTCATTACCGAAAGAATATGTGCCCTGCGCACGCAACTTACTGCTTGGCGCTTGGCGTTAACGAGTACTTACAAAATGCGACGGGTAAAAACCGTATTTTTAAATACGAGTGATATATCGCTCGAGTGATCACTCGGTTATTGCAATCGCTTGATACTCGAGTACTCGATTATTGAAATTAATCGGTTTTTCCCATCACTACTCAGAAATCCATAAGTACTAAACTTATTGATTTGTTCATCGGAAGAAACAGACTTACCGCGGAAAACTTACCCTACTTATATTGCCTAAAATTATAATTACAATTTTTCACTTTGTGGTGCCCGGTGGCGTAGAGGTACAGGCTCTCGTCTACCAATCTCGAGGTAGTGGGTTCGAATCCCACACCCGGCATTTCATCAGCCGACTATTTTCATTAAAATAAAAATAGTTTGGGTACCTAGGTCGACTCAGCCTTATATGAGTAGTTGGGATTCACAATCCTGAGGTAATAATAGGCGGTTGAAGCGTAGTGTTAGCAATATTATCTTCCTTGTATACCGAACGGCTCTAGTATGGCAAGCTGTACCTTGCTACTCCCAAGGCGTTAAACGTTATATACGGGAGTTATTATTATTATTATTATAAATTATAATTTACTAAATGGAGAAGAACATCCAAGAATGGTAGAAGCTGCTGAAAAAGAAATGGAAGAAGATATTGATTTCGAAGTAATACACTTGACTCAATTAACGAAAGAGAAAGAAGAACCAGATGACGACATTGAGGATGATTTGCCATTAGCCACTCTATTACGTACTATAACATAGACCTCTCCGACTCTAACTAGTTTAAAAAATGTTCTAGTCTTTTTTTGTAATAATTTTTTGCAATTTGAAATAAAAAAAAATATTATTTAAAAATCTCTTTTTTATAAATTACCAATGTTACCGCAATATTACCGATTTATAAATTACCGGTAATTTTACATCACTACCCATGTATAATGAGTTATAGACTGTGTGATGAGTTATAACTCAAGAAAGGGGGACACAGTAGATCTTTAAGGTCGCGGTGATTCCACTCATTCTACGTTCTACAACAAATTTATTTTAGATTATAAAAAAAAAATAATAATTAAATACAACACATAAATAAGTCTTTGCCAAATTTTCTAGCACCTTCGCCAATTCTCCTATTCGCTTTTTTTAAACCTCTACTTAAAACTGACTGATTTGGCGCGATTTAACCATTTATATATTCTAGCGGATGTTCTCGTAATTTCAATTCCGGAACTAACTGTAACATTCTTTTGTTTCTAGAAAGGGATTTTCACTACCGGTGCAAGAGATGTCGCGCCATTCGAATGTCCATTGGTAGTAATACAGAACACGCTTTAACGGTTCTTAGTTTCCTCGAAAGATATCGCCACGCTCCTTGACAATAATTTCAAAATTATTTGTTATAAGTTAGGAGACCTGATAAATTAAAACATGCGTTTAAAAAAATGAAATATACCTAATATATGAATAAATATATATAAATAATATATGCGTCACATAAAACATATATTACTTAACTAGTGTTTATTTTTTTACCAATATATACCTACAGGGTGGTACTATAAAGGTGCGTATTCATTATCCGAACGAACGAACGAACGAATGAAAGTGCGGTATATTTAGACGGGGACCGAACGCATGCGGCCGTTCGTTCGTTAGTTCGCTCGACCATCCGTTTCGAGTCGGTACATCAAAGGCGTTCGCCAACAAATGCCTCCGGTCTTCTCGTGCGGTCCTATCGTGCGGTCCCCGTCCATACCACTAGCGAACATTCGTTCGTTCGTTAGTTCGGATAATGAATACGCACCTTAATAGTTGATGTCAGAACGGGTGTCTGAAAACGTTCTATCCTTTTTAAATCTTACTATAATTGGTGTTAATTTTTGAAACGTTTTATGTCTAGAAATTGACCTCGCCAAAATTATCATCGATTGTCATTCCATAGCCGTCTTTAACGCCGTTTTTTTCGATGATACGGTATAACATCGGTATAATATACAAAAATAATTTTTTGCATCTTCGACGGTGAGTATTTTAATCTAACATTAATTTATTTTCAGAAAAACACCATTATGTCAGCCGAGACTGAGCTGACGATGCAAACAGGGCTGCAATCGGTACTACTACCACCAGATTTGACAACCCTCAGTCTCATAGGACACCGACCTCCAGCTCAAGGACCCCATTTAGGGCATCCTCCCCCATCTCATCCAATGCAGCAAGCTAACGGTTCGTACAGTAGTAAACCCACAGACGATATGTCGTATTGTAAGTATGAAGCTTTGCCTGCCAATTGCAATTTGTTCCAGTGGCGTCCCGTGACGTTAGAATTGGGCATATAGTTAATGGAGTTATTAAGATTTAAGTTATTCTTAAGCCCAATTTGTTTATAAATTTGTTATCTCACAAAACTAGGCTTTCTTGCATCTTCGTCACACGTTGTGTTGATAAGTTAGCATGGAGTAATTATGGAAGAAACTCAATCATATTCAAATCTAGAATGCCACTCTATCTAAAGAAGGATACATTCGACCAGTGTGTACTACCAGTCATGACCTATGCTGGCGAAACCTGGACACTTAAAACGGACATCATAAGGAAACTGTAGGTCGCACAACGTTCAATGGAAACAATAAGATTGCCTTTAAAAAATGTTCATGGTCCATAGTTTTGTTGACATGGAGTCAATCAGTCAGTTTCCCTATCAGCTCGACATATTGATGATGTTACTACTACATATTATTACGGATTCCGTGGGTACTAATTTAAACTCACGATAAAATACTTAACGAATTTATTTTTCTCACTATATACACAATTTACACAACTAATTAACTGTGCAACTACTATTACTCAATTTTCTAGCACCTTCGCCAAATAGTTCACAATTTTTCTATTGCGGAGCACTATCCTATAACTGACTAACTGCCGACCGCGGTCTGTGCTTATATATCGCTGTCGATCTTCGAAAGTTCTATTCTAGAATTCTCTCTGTAGTATTTATTTTTCCTTCCAGTAAATTATTTTTAGATCATCGATATTTTTTTTTGAATTTGAATTTTCCACGTGAGTCTCAGAGAGGGCGCGCTATTCACTTCGCCAGGTTTCTTGACAATGTAGGCATAGTGGTTTTATGTTCGCAATTACTGTCCTCCATTCACGCAGTTGTGCAGCTCTGAACTGTTCAAGAACGCGATACTCTCACTCCATTCAATTGAGTCATAAAGTTCGGAACTGTTTTAGAACTGTTCCGCGCTATATGGAGGCACCAGGCTATCGCGCACAGCTCCTTTCAGAACCGTTCTCGAGTAGCCCAGGGCGTAATGCTCTGTGACTTGAAATCCGCGAATGGAGGACAGCAAATGTGTTATAGTTTTTCTGTGAACAGATGTCGCCACACACCTTAACGAATACACAGCTCGGGATCTCTATTACCAGAAATCAACAGAAGAATAAGTTATCATGGAGTAATTATGGAAGAAACTCAATCATATTCAAATCTAGAATGCCACTCTATCTAAAGAAGGATACATTCGACCAGTGTGTACTACCAGTCATGACCTATGCTGGCGAAACCTGGACACTTAAAACGGACATCATAAGGAAACTGTAGGTCGCACAACGTTCAATGGAACGAAATATGCTGGGAATAACCAAGAGAGACAGTAAAAGAAGAAAGTGGATACGACAAAAGACCCAGGTAATAGATTGCATCCACAGAGTCAAATCCTCCAGCTCAAGGACCCCATTTAGGGCATCCTCCCCCATCTCATCCAATGCAGCAAGCTAACGGTTCGTACAGTAGTAAACCCACAGACGATATGTCGTATTGTAAGTATGAAGCTTTGCCTGCCAATTGCAATTTGTTCCAGTGGCGTCCCGTGACGTTAGAATTGGGCATATAGTTAATGGAGTTATTAGATTTAAGTTATTCTTAAGCCCAATTTGTTTATAAATTTGTTATCTCACAAAAACTAGGCTTCTTTGCATCTTCGTCACACGTTGTGTTGATAAGTTAGCATGGAGTAATTATGGAAGAAACTCAATCATATTCAAATCTAGAATGCCACTCTATCTAAAGAAGGATACATTCGACCAGTGTGTACTACCAGTCATGACCTATGCTGGCGAAACCTGGACACTTAAAACGGACATCATAAGGAAACTGTAGGTCGCACAACGTTCAATGGAACGAAATATGCTGGGAATAACCAAGAGAGACCGTAAAAGAAGAAAGTGGATACGACAAAAGACCCAGGTAATAGATTGCATCCACAGAGTCAAATCCCTTAAGTGGCAATAGGCAGGACACTTGGCAAGAAAAACGGACAATAGATATGCTACAAAAATTACAGCATGGTACCCACGTGTTTCCCATGGTATTAGAAAATTAGCAGGGATAACTTGGGTCCAGCATAGCCAACAATAGACAATGGGCTCAACTATAGAGTATGTGAGGGAGGCTACACCATAATTGGAAATGTTTGAATAAGCTGAAAATGATGATGATAATGACAATACTGAAACATAATTTGGCGTATATTTTTTCACTCGAAAGATCGAATTTACAAAAATTATATTCTTAAATTTACGTTTTCTAATTATTTTATCATTTATGGCGGCGACAGCGTTTTTTTATTTTATATTTATTTTCGGTCATTTTTTGTATATCGTCTAGCTTTTATTTTGCTGTGTAACACCAAAGGTTCCAACCCTCAACTGTAATGTATATCGTCTGTTGAAATCGTCCCAGACCTCATTGGAAAGGCTCTCCTCTAGCACGTGTAACACTGAGTGACTGAGTAGTTTATATACTAAGTCTTAAGTTTAAACTAGCAAAGTCACCTTAATGTGTATTAACACCATGATAACAGTCATTAGGAATATATCTAGGTATATCTATTAGTATTAATTTTATTTCACAAGAAAATTCTATAAATAGTTCTATAAATAATATTAATTAATAATAATTAATTCTATAAATAATTCTATAAATATATATTAATTACTCTATTGAGAATTGAATAATCCTAGTACATTGCCCTTTAAATTTCTAACCTTGTGTGTCGCCACTGGTTGGTTAGTGATATATTTTATACATTTTGGACTCTTGAATATTTTGACTTATGCATGTATTTGTTTGTATACTCTTAAGTTGATTTGTTATAATTAAATAGGGACCTATACAGGTTACAAACTTAAGTTGGATGTAGCCAACTTTAATTGCGGTTTAATTATGGTTAATTAGGCTTATTTAGGGTTTGTAAAAACTGGTGTCAAGTTACTTTAGAAATTTTCAACTCAGTAATATTCACTATGATATCAATTTTACAAATAAAATTTCATCGATTGTCATTTCGTAGGGTAACTTGACGCCGAGTTTTTTCGATTATACAGGGGGGTCTTTGGGGGTAATAAGTGCAAATGTTTTCAGTGCTGGTAGATCTCGATAAAAGAAACAGATTTTCTCTTTATCGTCTTTCAAATAAATCCAAAATAACCGCGTTATTCAAGTTTGAAAGTTTAAAAAGAAATTGATTTATTAAAAAAAAATGAGAGCCATCGGATTTTTAGTGTATTTGCATCCTTGTTAGTATCGTAACCACGGTAACATATCAGGAAGTATAACCAGTGCCTTCTATTAAAAGATCAGCCTACGGGCGGACTTTTGTTTACTTCATCAGCTGTACATACTTAGATATTGGGTTAGATTCTGTATTCATATTTTGTCGGTTGATTTTTAGTATTATTTGTTATTGTAGTGCAAAAAACTAATTATTTTGGTGTTTAAGTGACATAAAGTACTACCAGATATGGTCGCTATGATGGTCACTCTGTTTCTCATAAAAACACGAAATATTACACGTTTTGTTAGTGCTTTAACCTAAAAGTGCCTGTAAAATTTTTGTTATCGATTTTTTGTGTGTGTTTTAAGACTCTAACAATTCATCAATAAAGCAAATTGAGTGTGTTTTGGTGCTTTTGGCTCATCTTTGTTGTGTTCCTAGTGGGAAAGGATAGTTATACTAGGCAGCAAAATATCCGGAAGAGCAAGAAAAGTGGGTACGAGTTATAAATCAAGACAATTCTATTGAAAATATCTTTAATAAATTTAAAAATAATATTCTCCCAGGATGGTATTAAAGAAACTGGACAATTATGTTTATTTTATTCATATTGTGGAATCTCCACTCCAAGTGTTGTTGGTTCAGCTTCGATAGATTCAAACGTAAAGATAAAACGTAAGTAGGTATTATGATCTGGGAAAATAAAGAATATATTAGCCAGTAAGATCATGAAAAAGATTATTATTTTTGAGTTCAAAATTAAGATTTTGTAAGGAACAAGAATGATAAAGTTTAAAAAGAGAATGTGTTTTTTGTTTGATAATATAATGTATGTAAACATAACATATTTGTTCAGTAATTTTTACTGAATAGTGTTGATTATTTATAATACCAAATTAATATAAAATATTTAAGTGATGGCTGAATACAATATGAATAAAAATAACAATAAAATTGGTATATTTACGAAATACAAAATTAAGTTTTAAAATAAAGGTGTTACTAAAAATATACTAAAATTCATATTTCTTTGTTTAATTGGTCTAATGTTATTTACATTTTACGTAAAATTATACCGTATCATCGAAAAAATCGGCGTCTAGTTGGCTTGGAAATGAATTATCGATGACATTCCCTAAATAACTGTACACATAAAATAATTAACTAAATTTTACAATCTTGGAATATTTGATATTCTTGAACCTTGATTTGATATTCCTAAATTTTTGATTTTCTTGGAATTTGGGTTCAGGAGAAAAACGCTGATTGATTTTTCATTTGGTTTTCGTTATTTTTATTTGGTTTAAAAAAAACGGTTCCTTCAACATTATATAGCCTCCATCAGTGTTGTGTCATATGAAAAAATAGTGTCGAATATAATCCAAAAATTGCATATAAAATATTCACACCAAGCACATAATATTTTGTGCGTACTCCATAGTCAATGTAGATAATTTTAGTGTTAAAGAATAATAATTTTAAAAAAATATGTGGTCATCTTTTTGATAAGTTTATATTAGTTTATTAATTGCAGTAAACATTATGAAGTGTGAATTATATTGTATATGTAATTTTTTGGATTATATTCTTACTATTTCTCATATGACACAACTTGCTAATAAGCTCTCGTGTAAAACGTTATTACAAACAAATAAAACAATAACAAGCCAATCAACGTTTTCTGAACCTAAAATCAAGAAAATCAAGAACCCCAAATAATTAACATATAAAACCAGCGATCTTCATTTCATAACCATCGCTGACACTTTTTAGATAATATTGTATTATTTGTAAATATAATTTTCGAACATTGATACTTGCAAAACCATACATATAAATTTTGTGAATGCAAATAATAATACATCACTATTATTAGATATTAAATGTTTTTTGTTAGGGTAGATCGTTTTCAAACCCAAAATTTAAAATATATTTGTTTACCCATTATCACTTAATATTACCTATACATTATTTGTACATTGTAAAACATTTGCTGCATTTGGTTCATAGTTTATTTGCCAAAGTATTTATTACTATAAATAGGTATATATGTTGTAGTTATTAACTGTATATTATGTATATTTTATTTAGTTCATTATATCATATTTCAAGATATATCATTTTAAAATACAAACAAATACAGGAATAATTATGTTTTCCATGCTTGTTGCTATATTTATTAATCCGTTATATCTAAGTAGCGTGACGTCATAAATCTCGCCCGTAGGCTGATCTTTTAATAGAAGGCACTGATCCACACCATTACCAATTAAATATTAAAGAAATAAGCTGGCTCAGTGCCTTCTATTAAAAGATCAGCCTACGGGCGGACTTTTGTTTACTTCATCAGCTGTACATACTTAGATATTGGGTTAGATTCTGTATTCATATTTTGTCGGTTGATTTTAGTATTATTTGTTATTGTAGTGCAAAAAACTAATTATTTTGGTGTTTAAGTGACATAAAGTACTACCAGATATATGGTCGCTATGATGGTCCTCTGTTTCTCATAAAAAACACAATATTACACGTTTTTTTGTTAAGTGCTTTAACCTAAAAGTGCCCATAAATTTTTATTTATCGTGATTTTTGTGTGTGTTTTTAAAGACTCTAACAATTCATCAATAAAGCTTAAATTAGTGTGTTTTGGTGGCTCATCTTTGTTGTGTTCGGAAAGGATAGTTATACTAGGCAGCTTAAAATATCCGGAAGAGCAAGAAAAGTGGGTACGAGTTATAAATCAAGACAATTCTATTGAAAATATCTTTAATAAATTTAAATAATATTCTCCCAGGATGGTATTAAAGAAAACTGGACAATTATGTTTATTTATTCATATTGTGGAATCTCCACTGGTGTTGTTGGTTCAGCTTCGATAGATTCAAACACGTAAGATAAAACGTAAGTAGGTATTATGATCTGGGGAAAAATAAAAGAATATGTGTATTAAAGATCATGAAAAAAGATTATTATTTTGAGTTCAAAATTAAAAAGATTTTGTAAAGACAAGAATGATAAAAGTTTAAAGAAGAATGTTTTGTTTGATATTATAATGTATGTAAGCTATAACATATATTTATTAATTTTTACTGAATAGTGTTGATTATTTATAATACCAAATTAATATAAAATATTTAAGTGATGGCTGAATACAATATGAATAAAATAACAATAAAATTGGTATATTTGCAATACAAAAATTAAGTTTAAGAATAAAGGTGTTACTAAAAATATACTAAGAAATTCATATTTCTTTGTTTTAAT